GACCTACTATCGGGAGAAAAGCTGGCATCGAAAACTTTCTAGACGGGCTAACATTTTTGCTGCTCCTTTCGAGGAAAAGTTCGAGTTCCCACCAAGTTGAGAAGTAACTTCATACATATGTTGGTGTATTTGCTTCTTAGGTAGAGCCGCTACGGTGCATGATGGCCCTGCGCCGCGGTCACTAGGTTTCGAGCCGCAAAGGTTACACGGTCCTGCGGTCGGTTGCAGACCTGCTATCCTGCTCCAACAAGGATTTTGCCGATCAGTTCAAGATAGAGCCCGCGATTATTAAAGTTCAGAAGCTTTCCTTGCATGAGATGCCGCGAGCTGCTGTCACAGAGGATGTTCACTCATGTGACTCGAAAGTGCTCGATAAGAACCTCATAGCCCTACAACGATATCACTCTCCGCCCTCTCGCAATCTTGTTTCTTTATGAATTATTTTCGGTAAACAGCGGTGAATTCTGCATCATTCAGGTGCTCTTTTGCCAACCTATCGTCTGCCTTCCCCATCCTAGTGTCTTGTCGCTCATGGCTCAGTACCAACTGATGTCCTATAAGGAGCGATTTCGAGGATAATTCCTGTTTTTTTTCTTCTTATTGGACTGCTCAGTACCTTGTCATTCTTATTCGTTGCCCACTGACTATGATTTTGTAAACAGCTTGCGTATCCATGGGTCATCGAATGCACAAATACAATAAATGACAATCGCGGGCTCTACCTCCAAACAAGAATTGTGCTTTTGATCAGGGCAAAAAGAACCCAATCGTCACTAACGGGATCGTCTCCAGTTTGTCTAGCCAGTCTTAGGAACTTTTGGTCTTCTTCTGACAGCTCGTCCGCACGAATCCATTTGGAGTGTGTTCCTAAATAAAAAAGGCATGAAAGAACTACTAGTAAGGAAGGAGACATGGTTTTTTGCTCCCAGATAAAGCGCCTACAACACTGCTAACGAGATCTCCGAAGCTTAGATTTCGTGGTGGTTCCATTGTGGAAATGAAAAAGAACTGGCTATGTTTGGTATAGCATAGACTATTTCAAGAAAATTCGCACCGTTGTTTGTATCTCCTTGTTTGGCCCGTGAAGCGCACCTGTCGAAGGAACTATTGATTTTGCATATGCGATCAATCAGGGAGAACGATTGGGTCGTTTGAAGCACACACAGGAACACAATCCATTCTAGAAACGGCAACATCTGTATGTAGCAGATATTAGAATATTACTGCGTTGATTAATGCAATAAGAAGTGGAGGAATGTTAGCTGTCCCAAGGCCCACAGATAAGTTCGCCACGAAACCTACTTTATCCCTGGGATGGAGTAGGCGTGGCATTTAAACGTGAGCGTGGGTTACCCGTTGGATATTTCAAGGGTGTAAGGGTTGTTCTGTTTTGGACAAAGACATGATTGCAATTATCCTAAAACAAACCTTTCACGAGAAGCTTGAACGCGCCATTCAGTTAACACGCTCCGCACCGCGTGACTCACATGATGTGTCCACATTTGTCTCAATAAAGTGTTTTATTTGATTAATTTGGCTTTTTTCCATGTTTTGTTGTTGTCAAGTCCCGCTTGGGCTTGCAGAAATATACATTCCTCATGTGCGATTGAAAAAAAAGAAACGACTAATGAATTATTGACCAAAAATGGTGAAATGGCTCGTAGGGGCGAACAGTACGGCGGTCCGTAATGTGTTAAACTACGCAGCCACGCCTATCGCATTTCAGGGATTTAGCCGCGCCTATCCCATCTCAGGGATTTTGAGTGTGGGTCGTTTCAGTGCGGACCATTATTATTTTCAAACAGAATTCATTCCTATAGGTCAGCAGATAGAGCATAGGAACGTGCAATAAACGCTTGGTAATCTAGAAAATCGCAAGGATGGGTAGCAGAAGTTTTAAAGAAGGACGGGAAGGAGAAGGCTCCATCTTATGTAGATTTAGAGGAGTAGCAATCGCGGTTTCTAATCTATTCATGTTGAAGACAGTGAGGAGACAGCTATGTTGAGCTGATATCAGCCTTGTCTTCATAGTTTTTCGAAGAAAAAACTCTAAAATAACGAGTATAGGGCTCTACAAAATGACACGGGTTTATGACAATGACATAGGGCTTCAAAGTGCCCTATGTCAGTCGAAGGTTGGCGAGTTGTGAGTTTGAGATTGATCAGAAATAGTAATTTAATGGACTGAAGTAAAATCCATTGCTGCACCATTGTTTGCGATGTGGTGATTACACAGTCAGAACCTAGTTTAATGGATCATAGCGCCAGTTATCTCCCGCCCGTATTGTTTACAATCAAAAAGATTCCTTCAAGAGCAAATACTGATTCCGGAATTTTTGAGAAATTTGAGAAGAACAACTTTTAAGGTTTAAGGACTGCGCCTTCTGCAATTGGACGTATATTCGCTTCCAGGAACTTCCATTAGATAGCTAACGAGCCATCATGACATAAACAGCTTCTAGTGAAACGTTTAATTATCAATAATCGAGCCAAACCTTACGTGTCGCCCCAGACAGCCTCTTGTGTTCTTGAACCTCATTTAGTGAGGACGACGTTCTGGTCAAGACGTTAGGACGTCAACAATAAACGTTTCCCCTTACAACTTTGCTGGCACAGAAGAACATTACATCAAAATGCCGACCTGGCGTTATACCAAGAGGAACTGGAGACTACAGATGTCTCTGACGTTTGTCCAACTGTCAAGCTCATATATTCAAGACGAAAAAAAAAAAAAAAACAAAAAAAAAAAAAAAAAACCTCACCTGCCTCTTTAAAAAAAAAAAAAACAAAAAAAAAAATTAAAAAAACAAAAAAAAACAAAAAAGAAAAACAAAAGAAAACGGATACTTTCAGAAAGGTCGAACAACGTGTGATGACGCGTCGACCAAGTTGTGTTAATTAAATGATAACAAAAATAGTTCTTGAAGTGCGAACCATCGAGCATTGTTGCGAGATCTTTTGGAGCTTTCTGGGTCGCATTGGAGTTTCATTGATCTTGCCCGAAGGCTTTATTAATTTATGCCTTCATTGATTATCAATCAGGCATTAAACAAGCAATAAAGCCGGCGTTACGCCCCGATGCAGCGCTCAGTGAATACATTTTAAGGCAAAGTTACTATGTTTTGCTGTAATTTGTAGAGCTCTGCTCTTTCGACCGGCAAGCCTCACGAAAGGCCACGAGGAGCGAACAATGTTCCTAATCAGAACGCACGAGAATGAAACGCATTCAATCTAGACTCGACAGGAAACGACCGGCCAACGCTTTTGATCATGACCCGAACCGCTGAGGTCTCATTATATAGGCCGCCGACTGATTGCGCCCGTACGCTACGCATTTGCCACGAACACACAACATATCATTTGGCGAAACGGCTCGGATATCACGCCGCTCTCAACAGACTCTGTTTGTAATCAATCTCAAACATTTTCACTGACTTCCTTTTCCCACGAATGAAATATTACTAAAACATCAAAAAATTCAAGGAATTCTATATGAAGACTTAGTTTCTCATCAGCGGTAGCAGCACCGTGATTGTGAGATCGGGTTTGAGTACGACGTCCGCCCACGCCTTCCCAGAACTACTACATTATTCCCAGACTTACCAGTTTCATCCAAAGATTTTCCATCACGGGTGGAAGGGAATATATTAGGTTGTCCGGAAAGTTCTGCACGTTTCGAGTCTTTCACTTTAAACGATCACAACTTTCCCTAACACTCATCGGATTTAATCCAAATACAGACCATTAGAAATTCAGCACACTTTGCATTAGCCGCAAGAATTCTCATTCAGGAGTACCACTTAAGAGTCAAGAAAGAGTTTTTAATCAGCAATGAATGTGCAAAAAAATAGTAACACAAAACCTGCAGAACTTTCCGGACAACCTAATATTACACACGAAATAGAAAGATCACACGAAAGTCAACAAACGGGAAAATTTTTTTCCAACGCGGCAAATTTCTCTCAAAAGGCACATACGGCCCCCCCCCCCTCCCTCTCCCCAACGACCAAATACGACCTCGCCCTCCCCAGCTGAAACGTACGACCCCCCCCCATTATTTCACATAACGATGCTGTACCCTGCTTCTATTAGCTAATATCATTTCGCTGTTTAAAGATTGAATGACAGCGAATGGTAAGGAATTGGAGAAAACTAACCTAGCAACCTTTCTAGTGAATAGGGGTGCAATCTTTATTATGGGCTGGGCCATGACCCAGAGAAAGCGAGATGGTTCTTAGAAGGGAGGTCGTTCAAGTCGTGGTGAGCTTTTTAAAAACGGTTTGTTGCATGATGTAGGGGTCCATGCAAGGACCACATGGGGTTCATTTTTGCTAAACGCTATTGGGAATGCCAAAAAAGGAATAAAAACAAATTGCTCAAATACGCAAATTTTATCATCTCATTCGGCTCTGTTTCAGCTGTAAAGCTGAGTACATATAGTTTATGAGGTGTTCCTCAACTAGGCATGGGAAACAACGTAAAATAAGGTCAAAATTCAAGTGCCTTACTTGGCATACAGTGAGGTACACAATTCTTTAGTGGTTTATGCAGCATCCCTTCCCGCTCGCAGTGGCCATTTAGCGCCACGCTGGCCCCAGATCACGTCGGCGCCATAAATAATTGTCAGAATCGTGATCAGGGCCATTGATTACCCCTGTTTAAGAGGTTTCAGCGAAAAAATTTTTTCGAGTTTCTTTGGTGGTCATGGACCTGACCATTTGGATGGCAGTGGCAGGCGAACCCTCCGTAAAGGCATCTGGCATACGAACAGCCAGAAATTTTACATTTTTCGCACTCTCTGACTTCAGTGAATCTTTAAAGAACACCGTGTTAGCTTCGGAGTCACTAAATGAGCATCTTGAATCTTTCTCCACTTCGCCGTCTAGGCTTTCAACAAAGAACTCGTTACCTCCTGCCCGAAGAAAGGATCTTGTTTCTCTCACATCAAAAGTGCAAATGGTGTGCAGTGTATGCGCGTCACTTCTTTTTAAATTTTGTAGTTGTTAATTATGCGTCTGCATACTAGCAAATGAAAAGCTCCCATAACGATGTTGGATAACGACTTCTGGGGGGAAGGGGGCGGGGACTGATAGCCACTAGCTGGAGACATGGTCAGGCATCATAACACAAAAAAGCTCGGAAAAATTTTTCTCGGCGTAACTCTATACGTAGGGGTAGTTGATGGTCCTGATCACGGTTCTGATACTTATTTTTGGCGCGGAGGCCATCTGGGGCCAGTATGGTGCTAAATAGGCCCGCTGCTAAGGCTGACAATGTTATCAGTGCGAGAAACCCTTTGCACCAAATTGGCGCCATATTCAAAAACGAGTGTCATATTCGTAATCACGGCATCGGATAAACGCCGTAA